TTTATTTATTTTTATTTTTATTGCTCTTGATAACATTCTTATTCATACAACACAATTTACAACGAAATCCTATTATTATTATATTAAGGTTTAGAAATTAATGATTTTTATGACTTTTGATGAACACAATTTCATGAGATTATCATAGATACAAGTACAATCGTATTGATTGTTTTATTTTAACGTTATAGCCGGACTCAAATGATTATAATAAAATACGAATAACTGTATGACCTTAAACTGTCAACGCATGAACGATTGTTTACATTTCTTTCATACACTTATCTAATTTCCGTAACACAAGTCTCGTGAAAATTCTTGTGCCGATGTGAACATATCCAAAATAAGCGTTGATAGAGTATTTAATAAACTATTTAATAGATTTTGATGAATCAAAACACTTGACAGTTACAGTTTTGTGTTTGGTTTCTGGTGTTTTTAAAATTGTTTTATTTTTATAAGCTTTAAAATAACTACATAAATTATGACGTCAAGTTTTAAAAAAATTATGAACAGTTGGGGACATCCACAAACTAATTGAAAAATAAGAAAATAATCCTCGTCTTTAGAATCCAAAACATCTAAAACATAAAAATAAATTGGTAATGGATGAAACACTTCAATATAAGCACCAAACTATTTTCTTCTTTAAAGCCATTTGCGTTTCCACACACTTTTCGCCATTTCTGGATTTTTGCTCAAACTTTCTATAACAATAATAGCAGCCGCAATTCGTTCACACTTCGACACCGTAGTTTATAGTAATGAATACAAAATATAAAATACAAGACACAAACATTTTAACAAGTACAAAAAGTAGTAATTAAGTACAACTACGCACTGTAAAAACAAGTTGTTACGTGACTGTCGCTCGTAATCAAATATATTTTAATTTTAATAATTTTAACTTTTATATCACTGATATAAATGTTCGTGACATATGTTATATAATTTAAAATTGTTTCATGAAAAAACTGTCATCGTTTGTATCGGACTTACGATGAAAAAAACACTGCACACATAAACCGAAACGAATACCCATATTTTGCGGTTTTTTTTTTTTTTTTAACATTGTTGGTATACATTGGATTTGAGACCAGACCATTTTGATCGCATTAGTCGGAAATCACTGTACGAAATTTTATGAAATTGAGATATTAGTAAATACCTATACTAGTTATGCGTTTCTATGCGTTGAGCGTAAAACTTCTTTAATTATACTTTTTAATGTACTCTTTGTATACGAGTAGATTATAAATATTCATCAAATAAACGATATGTATTAAAAAAAATATAACTAAAGACGCTTTTACTAACATCTAGATCTCATAAGCTATGTTTGACTCGTGACGTTTCTGCACTCGTCGATTCGTACGTTCTCGCCCCGTGGCTGTGATCTACATCAGCGTTTTCGTGTGAACTATGTCCCGCGAAACCCTGGGGTTTTTCGAAGATCACTTCAGGGTTCCGTGAAGCTAAAGTATTTTTTTAAAAAAATGTAAGAAAATTACTTTAAAATTAAAGTAAAATTAATTAAATTTAAACTAAACTTAAAATTTTTGCATTATAGAAAAAAATACTTTGTGCATTAAATAACAATGTATAATCCATACGGAACAGAGTCTAAATGTATATTTAGTCTAATTAAAGTAATTATTACCATTAAAGTATTATTATATATATGTATACAATTATTATTATTTTTATTTTAACATATTTTTTTAATTAAATACCTTTAACACGATATTATTATATGATTATAATTTGTTTACAGATAATCCAAAAAAAAAAAAAAAAAAGCTATAAAGATAAACAAAAAAGCAAGGGTTCCACGATAAATGCGGACATCGAAAAGGGTTCCGCGGATAAAAAAGTTTAAGAAACGCTGATCTACACTATCCGGGCGAACGGGAAAGATCCGTGCGCGGCTCACGCGATTTTTGGCGTTCCGCCCGTGGTAGGTGCCCCACACGCGGTCCACGTGTTATTCACACGTCGCATTGGACACGTGCACCTCTACCGGTGACGGGGACGGGGGACATATTCGAATGGAGATGGTTCGTCGTACGTTAACTACGTGGCGTATTTACAGATAACGCGTGTAATATTTTAGACTTGCGGCGTACGCGCGTTACGAAACCGACGGAAAACGCGTGACGTAGACAAAAACTTCTCTTCCCGTAAATCTCGCGTGTTCTTCTAGTTTGTTTTTTTTTTTTTTATTTTCATTATTATTATTATTTTTTTTTTTTTTCTATAATCTTACACGCACGCATTACGTATGCATGATCTGTCGTTTATTTTAATTTCGAAGCCAACGTGAATTGTATGTTTCGTAATGCTCCGTCGGATGAAACATGCGTTTTCGGGTTCTCGAGACGTGACGTTTTAACGAGCGTTTATCAATTCCATCGCGTATTCTAATAACCCACTGTACAATCTAATGCAATATGCATGTGTCGTGGATTCCGAACGACTGCATACAACAACGTGAAAAACATTTGAATTTCCTACGCAAAAAAACGAAATGTTCTTTTATGTAAATTTTTGTAATTGGTTAGGTTGTTTTGGATTCTCAGGCTTGAAATATTAATATGACAGTTGCGTAGAACATATCTCCTAGATTTTATTTCCTCAGTCCGGGACCGCGTGAATGGTTTATAAATTTATTAACGTCGAAAGTTCGTCGCTCCGAAATGTTTTAAATTTCCATTCCGTAACACGATGTGTATTCAAGCTCATCAAGTCATTTGCCGTTTCGTTAGAATAAAATGTTTGGGATTTATAAAAAAAAATCCTCCTATAAGCACTCATAAATTATTTACAAGTGTACTGTAACACATTGTACCTACACCGTGATGGAACATTGTGTATTTATTCGTAAATATATTCCGAATGCAATGATTTATCGATCTCATCGTTTCACGTTTTACTTATGAAATGTTAATTTTATTATAATGCAATTTCGTTTTGTATCACGGGAATTATCATCGAAACATCGCTGTGCACGTAAAATGAATGCGTTCCCCTCTCGACCTGATCCACCGAGCGGCCGACCACCGTGCAGCGAACTCCTTAGAATCAAATCAACATAAATCGCTTTTCATCTTGTGTCGCGACCAACAGCGAGAACGAATCTTCGTCGTTACCGAGATTATAAACGAAAGCTATTTTGCAGCACATCTTTATTGTTAACGGTAGGTACGAAGTTGGTGAAATGAAGATTCCAATAGCCGAAGCACTTTTTCAATGCCCACGTCCATCCCTATAATATCTTTCTATGGTATAAAAATGAATCATCGAATGTGTTCAATAATAGCGCAATAAAAATAGCGCAAATTTCGATAGCAGCTGAACCGATTTCGCTAATTATTTTTTTTATAATATTCTTTGAAGTTCGAGGATGGTTCTTGCGGAGAGAAAAATTAAAAAAAATTACCTAAAAAAGTCTAAAAACAACATTTTTCTATATTTCCATACAAAATTTTTTTAAGAAATCCCATAAAAAAAAAAGTAAAATTAAAAGTCAATTTAAACTTTAAAGTAAAGTTTTAACTTAACCATATTATTATGAAAAAATTAAATGGAATGTTATCTAATCTGTAGTATTATTATTGCGCTTAGCAACACATTCAACGATTCATTTTTATATTATAGATTATTTTATATATCTAGGCAAGCATATAATCACTTATTTAACATAATTATATATTATTTGTTGATTTTAAAAAAGCATACGATTCTATACATAAACCTAGCCTATAAAATATATATAAATAAATAAAAAATGAATTAGTTTACATATAGAAATAAATAAATGCTTTAGTCTGGATTATCATTATATTTTTAAAATACGATCGGTTTCAAATTAAAAATTCACTGTAAGGTATACAAAGTCAATAAAATCATAACTCACTATTGACAAATATTTTTAAGTATTTAACCAATAACCCTATTACCATGGAAAAATTAAACGAAATGTTATTTAACCTGTAGTATTATGATTATCTTAAGCAGAGCCTGCTATGTATATATAAATAAAATTAACCATATTTTTTCGAGACGTGCCAAATTGATCATTTCGCACAAACACTGCTATAATCTGACATGCCAAAATATTATACTTGGAATCAATCAACAAAGAAATTGATGCGAAAAAAACAAAGAAAACTAGTTCCAGGTTACCCAGGTACTCGTATATCTTCAACCGATGCAATAGATCGAATTTATTTCTATCGTTCTTCCAAGCAACGATGATTGTTTTTATTTACGGATGCTATTAGTCAATATGTGTGGCCCAACATCATTCTAACATTTACAAACAGTTGATGGTAAATTGTATAGATCTTACAGAGAAGCCTGTCATCGTTTGCAACTGTTACAAAACGACGCACATTGCGATCAAACTCTCAATGATGCTGTAATCTCATTACAAGCTCATCAAATACGAACATCGTTTTCCATTATCATAAGTACATGCTTCTCATCAAAACCAATTTATTTGTAGATAAAATACAAAGATAATATGTGTGACGGTATTTTATTTAATATACGCAATAAAACAGGGAATCTGAATTGACAAATAAGTGAAGAAATTTACAATTAGGCATTGATTTCCATTGAGGATATATTCTTGATGATGTCAAACAACCTATTATGTAAATTGGGGATGGCTGCGCCCAACCGCCCAATACACGATGCTTTTCATTAAGTGTTAAAACGTGAAAAATCGTATAAGCTCAATAATTTGAAAGAATTGATTCAAATAAATCTTCCACTATTGAACGAAAAACAAAAGTATGTATTTGATACTCTTATGAAAATAATAAATGATGGAACTGGAGGGATTTACTTCTTGGACGCTCCTGGTGGTACAGGAAAAACTTTTTTGATTACTTTAATATTGGCAACAATTCGCTCAAAAATGAAATTGCTCTAGCACTTACTTCGTCAGGTATTGCAGCAACTTTGCCCATTCAACTCTAAAATTGTCATTGAATATGTCAAACATCGAAACTCCAACCTGCAACATTTCTAAAAATTTGCCAATGGCAAAGGTTTTGCAGCAATGTAAACTAATAGTGTGGGATGAATGCACGATGGTGCATAAAAAATCTTTAGAAACTTTAGATAGAACCTTAAAAGATTTACGGAACAACCAAAATCAATTTGGTGGCGAAATGATTTTATTATCAGAAGATTTTAGAAGATGGTAAATTGCGGCAAAATTAATTTTTTTCTAAAAGTCGATATGTAAACTGCAACAAAAAAAAAAAAAAAATTAAGATTGTACAATCTGCGACAAAACCGATAAGATACATTATACAAACTGCGGCAATTTATTATATAACTTCTATATAAACTATATATATTTTTTTCATTTGATATTACTTACTGCTTGACGTTCAATCGTATAATCTGATTCATGACTATGATCCAAAACTGATTTTTCTTGTAATAAAGTTTTTTCCTTGTTGAAAACAAATTTTGCCTTGCGTGTTTTTTTAGTGCATTCCCATGTTTGATTACCATTTATTTTGGATTCATATTTAAATTTGATTAAAAATTATTTAACATTGTTTATTCTTCGCCATTCTGGCTAAACATTGTTGTAAATTCCATGACGTCGAATAAAAACTAAACTTTATTTCTACTAAACTCTAATACTTGTAAGTAGGTAATAACTAGTATTTTCAAAAGTAAAGAAACCGATATTACTGATATGTTTTGTTAAAACTTAAAAATACATTTGGATTTACTTTACCACTTTGTGCGCAAGACGCAAAATTTCATAATTAATTAAACGATATACGTTCATAGATACACATAGGTAGGTATATATGATTTAGGTACTATAATAAATAGTATATATAGAAGGTATATATAAAAAATAAATTGCCGTAGTTTGAATAATGTATCTTATCGATTTTGTCGCAGATTGTATAATCTTAATTTTTTTTTTGTCGCAGTTTACATACAGCCGAGATTTTCACCAAAAATTGCCAGTGGTTCCACGTTCAACGAAATCTGATGAACTGAATGCATGTTTAAAGTCCTCCAATTTGTGGAACTATGTCAACGTATTACACTTAAGCAAGAATATGCGTGTCATGTTAAAAAATGATCAATCTAGAGACATATTCTCTAAACAACTCATTGATATTGGTAATGGCAAATTTCCTATAGATGTGCTGACTGGCATTTTCTCCACTATTGATTCACCTTTTCCGAGAGTTTTTGTCGGTTAACACAATCAAAAGTTGAACTCATTCAAAAAATGTTTTCAAGTGTTGCTCAAAATTACTTATTCCATGATTCGTTGAGCGAACGAGCTATACTGGCTGCCAAAAACACTGATGTAAATTAATTAAATTTCAAAATTCAAGATGACATTCCAGGCAAAATGAGGACATATAAATCAGTTGATACGGCAACTAACGAAAATGATGTCGTGAACTATCCACCGGAATTTTTAAACTTAATTGGTTTGCTAGGATTGCCACCTCACAATCTTCAATTAAAGGTCGGGTCTGTAGTTATAATGTTGCGAAATATTAACCAACCGCAACTTTGTAACGGCACACCATTAGCGATAAAAAATTACTGAATAACGTAATAGAAGTAATCATATTGGAAGGAAAATATAAAGGAGAAGACGTTTTGATACTCCGCATCGCAATGATTCCGTCTAAAGTACCATTCGAGTTTAAACGACTACAGTTTTCAGTACGGCTTGCTTTCGCTATGACTCTAAATAAATCCCAGGGGCATTCATTAAGTTTTTGTGGTATTTATCTAGAAAATCTATGTTTCTTGCATGGTCAATTGTATGTTGCCTGTTCCCGTGTTGGAAAACCATCTGCTCTATTTGTTTACGCACCAGGTAATCAAACAAAAAATATCGTGTACCATAAAGTACTATAATAAAAATGAAACTTAATTTAGAATAAGTAAAAATAAAATGGAATATAATAAGTAGGTATCATAATAAGAAATCTGAAATTGTAATTTTCATTGTGATTTTTTAGTGACTATTAAAAGAATTTTAAGTGTTTTATAATTTTTATTTTTTGACATAATGTAATTGTTAACTATCATTTTTCATTTTCTTTTTTTATCTTACTAGCTGACCCGGTGTCCCAAATAACAGAATAAATATATAAAAAAAATAAAAAATTAAAGAATCGACTGTTAGGTGGTACGAAGTTCGTCGGGTCAGCTAGTATCCCATAAATATGCAATTTTAACCCAGTGTCCACGTGCATGCACCGGTATAAGATTTTGAATAAATATATTATCATAAGCTTAATGTTTAATTGTAATGCAAGAATAATGTTACAATTCTTTTTCTTTTGAATTAGATATTTCTTAAATACAATGTATAAAAGATTTAAATTATTTAAAAATTATTCAAACACTTTAAAAAAAAAAAAAAAAAAATCAGCTACTAGGTTTGAACGCAAGTTCTTTGTTATACTAGTTATTTATATGCGTGTAAATCGTATTCGAAAATTAACCACGAACAGAACTGAACTGTGACTTAAAAGATGTTATCACTTTTTCTTTCTATGTTAATATTACAAAAATTTACCACAAAATTGCAAACGGGATAGATTTTATAATATATACATCAAAATATAATAGTTTAAGACTGTTAAAAAATATTTAAAATATCATATGAGATACCAACGTACGTTCAATGAGGTGCGAAGAACAACTACAATACGGTTTCAAACAATTTCTTTGTATACCTAATATAGTATAGTATAAAATAGGTTTACAAAGAAACATATATACTCTATAACATAGAGTCGTGTATGTTTATATACATTTTATTATTTAGGGTAGTCTGTGAAATTTCTGGCGCCATGGTTAGTGTTAAATTAAGATAAAATAATGGATATGAGTCAAATCGTGACATACTACAAATGCGAATAAAGAGTGTTAAATTACTATATTCAAGCCCAATCGGACGTTTCAGTTGTACAAACGGAATATCAAACGTCGTCATACAAGTTCTGCCTAGAAGAAACGGGAAACGTCAATAATTGATTAATTAAGCAAATCTTTTTGGATATTGCAGTCAAATGTACTGTTTAAAGATATCATAAATCATAAAATATTTGATGTTTGAAATATGAAATATTTCTTGTGAAACATTAAAATGTTTTCTATTATAAATATAAATTATGGTTATTTATTTGTTATTAATTATATGATCTAAAAGTTCTAGTTCCAGGTATAATTAATGATATTAATGGAATGAGCTCCGTGGTTGTTATAAAAAGTCTAAAATTATTTTTCAAATGGAAGTTTTTATACGGTTATCATGGTTGTCACGTAACATAGATTTATACTTAGAAAAACTTCTTTCTACGTCACAAGATACTATTAGAGCATATTTAAAACAAGATATGTCTTCAGGTAACATGCCTTAATTTTTGTCTCTTATTCTTCCGCTTAATACTCCATAAATTGTTTTAATTTGAGAATACGAGTGCTCTGGATTTTTAAATAATACTTGTGATAGTTTAAGTTCTATGTCTATTCCTCCTTTTTTTAAATAGATAAAATTAAAACATTTTTTTTCTTATTATTTAAAAAATATACAGTTGTTATGCAATTATATAGAAATATATACAATGCATTGTAATTTTTAATTAAATATGCAAAATATACAAAAACAAAAATTATCCATATAAGTACAGTGCGAGATACCGACATTTGTAATCAAAATTATTCTAGGTGAACTATAGATGAATAAGTATTTGCTTCAAAATCCAAGCCCTAGTTATTACTGTTGGTATTGTTTTTTGCACTTTTTTGAAACGTTTTATATAATTTTTATAATTTCAAATGCATTATTGCAGATTTTAAACACAATTATAAAGTTTTTAGGTTATCTAATTTGCAGATACAATTATCATATTGACATTAATTATGTAATACAAAAATATCATTTGTTTTTTAATTCAGCCTGTCAACGAAAAAATAATGGACATCTAAAAATGGACTTAAAATGGACTTTCTATGATAAATACTTCAAGTGGACATAATTTCTAGATAATTGATATAATTTTTTATGATAATTAAAAGTATAATTTTTATGTTTGGATTTACCTATCATCTACCGCACTTAAAAGTTAAATTTTTGGTGTACACTTTTGACCCATAGATAATACGAATAAAAGGTTAGGTTATTTATTTTTCTAGGTTATATATGGGCATTATTATTATGGTTAGATTTTTTATCGTTCGTGTGGTACTTTGAAAATATACGCAGGCAGTTATTGAAATAAAGCATATAATTTTATGCTAAACATTGCTTCATTATTATAATTACGAATACTTAACTCGATACCCTAAGATTGTTAGTTATTGCCATTATTATAATAATTTATCGGTCTGTACATACTTGTGATTTAATAGCAAGTTATGTACATACCTATTATATTTCAAGTATTAATTTAATATGCTTAAACTAATGATTTTACTATTTATTTTTATTTTTAATGATCAAGTCATAAATATCGACTTAGACATTAAATTCGAAAATCATTTTGATTTTAAAACCAATATATAGATGTACAACTTATGATAAATATAGTCATAATATGTAGCATAAACCTTTATTGGAAAAAAAACGATACTCATAATTCATAAAACGTAATAAAAAAATCCAAAATTGTTATGATTTATAAATATATTCATGACAAAATTAAAAAAACAGGCATGGAACAATAAAGCCAAGAACTTAAAACTATTTACGACGGGATTTTTTATGAGCGAATTTTTTAATAATATCCTTATAATAAATATCTCTACAAATGTCGCTCTCGATGTTGAGAATAGCCAGACTGATCTTCAGTTAATCACGATCGCAAGTAATTTACTTAATGTTGAAAATGACCTTTCAACTGAACAGTTCGAAGCTGAAAGACACAAAAACATTTTTGAGACTATGTCTATGTCAGAAAATATATCACATATTATTTTCCTTTTACGACATACTGATTTCCAATACTGTATGTGACAGTTGTTGAATATTTAAAAGGTAATTACGGAAATGTTTTTATATATAATTTTAATTTAGCATATTTTTTATAAGAAGTACCACTTAAACATTTTCTGCCATCACTCATCAATCAATTGGTTCAAATAAATAAAATAATATAAAAATTAAAGAAATGCTTTAACACTCAATGTCAGTCATACGTTATTGATTAATATACACGATGACCCATCTGTTACACAACACTAATAATAATAATTTTATGATAAACAAGATATTATATTATACCCATTAGTGATAGAAATTATTCGAATATTCGAACATTCGAATATCTATATTCGATGCTACCAGGAACGGTACGAGGGGGTGAGCAATAAGGGCAGTTGCCCAGAGCCTCTCGCCCTAAATTATAATTAAGACCCCACGGTTCTGATTTAAATGAACTTAAAATATTTTATTAATATAAATTATAAGACCCAACGTTTATTTTTCCGGGGCTTCGCAAACTCTAGCACCGTCACTGGATGCTACAATACAATACGTAACGAAAATTATTCGTTTAAGTTTTCGCGCAACACAAAGCGTTTAATAATCATATTATATGGCTTATGGTGTATAAAGGCTTGCGATAAGTAGATTCGAAGTCAGCGATATTTACTACTTGACAGAGCAATTAAAATACAAAAATAAAAATTGTGCAAAATACTCGAATATCATAGTTAAATTATTATTAATACATTATTAACTACAAATCACTATAGCGAGCATCGCTTAGAACGAGATACTGCTTACAACAAGCAAAACGTTAGGTCCCGGCACGGCACATATGATTGTATGTTAAAATAAATGTCTACAACGAGTATAGTTATTACAAGTTATCGACTAAAACGAGTAAAATAAAACTAACTACAAACGGGTACCTGCAAGATGAGAACTATTTTCGTATTTAGGTCGATTAACCATTGATATACATTATCTTTAGTTGTATGGATATGGATTACTTATTAATATTAAATAGCATAAATAGCTTGTCATGAAAAAATGGATAAAACAAATTAGGTATTGTAGCATCGATTATTCGAATATACATAACATTACTGATACTCATAATAATCAACTATATATGAGTCGTCCAATTGCAAAAGGTAGTATGTCCATATTTTAGTTGCAAAAGGGAATATGTCCAATTTTAAATATAAATTATTTAAAAAACTACTTATCCATGATTTCTATAGTCTAAAAAAAGTAAAATGTTTTTTTTTATATATATTTATGAAAAAAAAATGGTGACGTTTTATAAAATATTAATGGAAATATCAGTTTTTTGCTGTTTGTGAAAACTTTATTTGTTTGGACATACTACCTTTTGCAACTGGACGACTCATATAATATAAAACACGATTGATGATATCCACAAAACTGTTTTAAAGGGGAAATATCAATATTTTTCTAAAAATGGATAAAAACACAAGTCAAATATACTCCTGCCTATTTATTTTACAATGTCATTGATTATAAATTGCATTATGTAATTAATAAAAACTATAATATGTAATATATATTATACAATGTAATTAATAATAATTATAATATGTAATTGATAATACATTTTTGTATACATTTTATGTCAAAAATAATGAAGTATTATTTTTATTAGAAATATATAATTATGTTTGATAAGAATAAAAATGGTTTGTTATAAAAAATTTGAAATTAAATAAAATTAATTAATTTTTAAAAAATCACATATTTGTTCAGATTTTTGTCACCCTAGAGTGTTAGCCCTAGGGTAAATACATCACTGTGAAAAGGTCGGAACCATATTTTATACTTTTCATAGCGTTTATCGGTAATTATTTTCTTCAGTCAGATTACCTATATTTACAACCATTATTAATTATTTAGTTTAGTGAATTAAAAATTATTTAAGATCTGTTACAGAAGGTAACAAACTTAATTTACTCTCCTTAGTGTAAATAGAGTCCGAAATAATGCAGTCAGCGGACTACAGTCATGAAGTTATTCGTTCTTTCGCAGAAAAAAAATGCGCCTTGTAACAATTAAGTTTTGTCATTTAAAAATTATGTTAAGCGAACGGTATCGTTACAACTTGTCAATATGTTTTCCATTAATCTGGTTTTTTATATTTAATACATATACACGTATATTTATTTTTTAATTATGAATATGATATATGTATAATAATTTTTTATTTAAGTATGTCAAATACATAACAATTAAAAACAACTTGTATAATTAATATAAACTAAATAATTAAATTGTAATGAAATAAAATAATTTTAAAAGGCCCTTTCTTTGGGGCTCTGAGACCCTTAAATTCGGTAATGTTTGTACAGTAATAGTACTCAATTGTATTAATATTTCATTTCAATGGAGAGGCGAAGCCATCGAACACGAATTTATTCACTTGATTAAATTAAAACCAATACACTCGGAGGGTTTATTGTTCGTTTTAGATTCAGCTGAACCTTATCCCCGTTTCAATAACAAGTAAGTGGTTTTTTTTTCATTCTTCTTCTTCTTCTTCTTCTTCTTCTTATCTCATCTTATGCTGCCCGTCCACCACGGAACACGTTTTATTATTGTCGTATTTTAACGTTCGAAAATAATAATATTACAACGCAATGACCTCATGCTGCGTGCTGGGCTGAGTGGCAGATGGGGTGTAGGGTCGAATGCCGCTGTCAGCGTATGGGTCGTACTAATCCAACTACTGTAATTTAATGCAATCGCAATGATCTCGGTGACCTCACGAACAACAATCCCACCGTCCTTGTTGCGTTCACATGTCACAATTATCACGTTATTCGGAGACAGACGAGACGACCGATTTCCTGGGGTGACCGTAAGTGCATCCCGTAGTACCTTTTTTTTTTATGTAAATCGTGTCTCGGTTATTTATTTATTTTTTTGTTTACGTGAATAGCGTCTCGTGTATATATATTTTTTTTTTACCATATATTACAATGTGCGTTGATACATTGGGAAAGATACGAAAGTTCTTGGTGTGTGCGTTAAAGAACAAAGGTGACCGATCCCAAATAGTTGGGAGAAAGGGAGAAGAAGAAACAGATATTACAGTATATGTTACAAATTTACAACCAGTATTTTCCTTCCCGTTTTATCAGGCTTGGAATTGTCAATATTACTGTTATAATATCAATATGGATAAAAATATTGATTTTTTTTTTTTAGTAACTTTTAGATTAAAATTAAATTTATTAATTATTTATTACAAATATTTATTGAAGTAGGTAAAAAATTGAATGATAGTTGCCATAGACGTGCGCAGTTTCAAGTCGGGAACAGCGAATATTTTTACCGGCCCATCTTTTTTTCATTTAAACAGCCTATACATGACAATTATACTGTAGAAATCTGTAGCGGCTGTTTTTTTCTATAACTTAAAATCTATTCAAACACAGTAAAGATTAGCTTGGTAATTGAATATACTTTTCGGGTGATCAACTTATTTTTTATATTTATAATACGACGGCCATTTTGGACTATTTGGCCCTAACAAATCTATTAAACCGTCCAAAAGCAGCAAAGCACACCCTGTCACCACTGTGCGTACGCCTTCGGTAGTTTCTTTACAAATTAAATTTGAGTTATTTTTATAGTTTCTTATTATTCTTTTTTTTTTTTTTTTTATTCTTCTTTTTTTTTCTTTTGTGTAAACATCACTTTGAATATTTTTTAAGATCTACAGAAAAAGCCGTACTTAACATTTACCGATTTCCTGGTAACAATCACTACTGCTCACGCACCGACGCCATTTATATTTATATTATATTATATTATATTTTTATGTATTATGTTACCACTATAGACCGTAATTCTAGAACGTGATTTTAACAAAATATAACAGTTAGACCAATGATGTAATGTCAAAATTTCAGGCACTGGTGCAATTTTATAAAACTACCCCATCCACCCACCCATACAAGACTAACGCGCTACCCTTAAACTGTTTGTCTGTACACTATATATTATTGACCGACAGTTTTGTAATATAATTAT